ATTGTATGCCTTCAACTACAGATAAAATATATTGCTGCTCATATATTATTGATCTTTTTTTATATAAAAATATATTGCGGGCATTTTTACTATTAAAATGTATTTTCATACTTTACTAGTGTTTTGTTATTTGTTTGGAACTTGACGTTTTTGTCTTCAATATGTCCTTTGAATATCAAATTTTACGAGCCTTCTTTCCTCACATATGTTCCAGAAATTTCAACTGTTTCTTTCTTATTCTAATTTCAAATATTCTTTTGGTTCCTTAAAACCTAATACTCAGATGTTCCTCCATGGAATTCTCAGAATCCTTCTATAGAATTACATCTCATGTCTCTTCTTCATCTTTGAGGAAATTGTTGAGCGTCATTCACTGCCATAGAGGAGGACTGACATTGCATAGCAGTTCACCAATTTTTTCTTTGTTTTAACGAAATTTTTTCTGATTCTTAATACTTTGCTTAGCTTTTGGAAGGCATCTTTCGGTATTCCATTGTTTCTTCGGCTTTATGTTAATTGCATATCAACTCCTTTATGGGTCATTTAACGCTAAAATTTAATTTTCTAGGGGCTTTGAAGTAACAAAAATATATGTTATTCTGCTTTCACAATTGAATACATGGTAGATGACACTCAGCTTTTATGCATATACAAATTTACGTGGACAATTACTAGAAGTGGTGATATGTGTGTTTTATGTTATTTTTAAAATTATTTTAGAACAGAATTTGATTTAAGAAATTGTAGGATATTATATGGAGTAATGCAATGAAAGTTCATGTTGATTGTTTGGTTGACTTTGTTTAGCGGCATATCAACACCTCTATGGGTTATTTAATGCCGAAATTTAAATAAATTTAATGCGATTGTTGGCCTTCTACTCCCGATAAAAATATATTGATGTTATTTTTACTATTAAAATGTATTTTTATAATTTCATAGTGTTTTTGGTTGGGATGTTTACTTCTTGCCTCTAGCTAGAACCCTAACAGGTGCTACCACTCTGGGTCAAGGTGGACCTGGGAACAACAGAAGTTAAGTGGGAGTTTCAGGATCCTCAAAGCCTCTAATATCCCGATAAGGGCTTCTATCTTACTTGTAATCGTAAAAGTAATTTCTTTTTTAGACATAGTATGTAATATGTATATATCCCAGCGGTTTCAGCTAATCTATTAGTCATTATCAAGGATGTTTTTCTTTTTTAACATCTAATTTTTTTAATAGCAACATTTTAAATAGTTTTAAATTCCGAGTATAGTGTTCATAATTGATATATATTAATGATAATTTAAATAATATCAATTATGGATACATATTAAGAATTTTTAAAAATTCCTATTTTAAAAAATCTACATATTCATACAAAAGCAAACATCCTTGATAATGGCTAACAAATGAGCCGAAACCGCTCGGATCTACAGATCATTTGTAGAGTTCTTCCACACTCTATGTTAAAAAATAGAAATTACTAATACGAATGCAAGAAATATATAATACAAACCTTAATCGCTGTTACTTGTGAATATCTTCGTTGAAACTTGTATAAAAAGGGTATGCTACCCAGATAGATAATTATATATATTTTTAGAGAAATCTAAAAAATATAGAGTAAATTTTTGATTGAGGAAACCGACTACTACCAACCACTAATCTCTTAGCCCTATCTTTAGCCAACCCTTCTCTTGCACCTACCCTCCCCACTACCAATCTAAAGTGTCCGCCCGGTGTACTTTCTCTATTTGCGAAGAAGTTTTCGTTCTGATGAGCTGAACATCTCGGTGTACACGAAATAAAAATTATAAACGAAATGGATAATTAAAGTCTGCGTCTTCTTATAATTATAATGCTCTGTAATTTACATTGAACTCTCCCTGGATTTATATCTTCCTCGGAATTATCCCTTCCAGTCACAAACTGGTAAAATGTATATATATATATATATAATGGGCTCTCCTGTCGGTTTCGACGTATGAGGATCTGACAGCTTAGTTGATTCAGTTATGAAATTTTGTGCGATAATCTTAAGTGGCATTTAAGACCCACTAGTGATTTACAAAGGAAGTCACATATAGGGCAAGAGTGAGGATTGTGAGATGAGATCACTCTTAGATTGGCTGACCTTTTAGATCTTGCTCTCGCTTCTTGAATATGATTCAGACAAGCAGATTGAAAACTGCTGAGTCCACTAAAACACGTTGAGCTCCATTCTACCCGCTCCAAGGCTAAGCGCTCAAGTGTGTTATGTGGTACATATCATTTATTCGAAAAATATAACATAAATATATAATAAAGTCAATGCAAAAATAGCCATTTTGTTTCAACACTTCTGCTGTCTTAGTAAGTGATGGTGTTGAATGTAGAATAAAGAGTTTTAAAAGGTTCAAATCGACCAAACTCCCCTCGCTAGGAGAAACGCTGTTACATAAGCTGCATTGACCAATCAAAAATACAAGTATATGAAAATTCAATAAAACTTGACAACAAACCTTGATTATAATAATTAATGCCATAATGTTAGGGTTAGACGAAAATAGAAATCATTCTAACTGATTAATATTAAATTTTACTATAGAACTGAAATTTCATATATCATCCAGATACTGACCAGGTTCGATGTTGCTTAACTTTGGTGATTTCATGGGATGTGGCCGTAAAACTTTTCTTTTTTTTTTTTTTCTATGATTTCTATAAAATTTTTATATGTAATTTCCGATTTGAGGAACCAGCTGTATGTATAGCGGCTCGGATTGAGGAACGGGAGAACGGAGTTCGAATTCCAGTCGAAGCCATTAGATTCACTTATGTGCTGATACCCTTGGGAAAGGTATGAATCCTCTTCTTCTCCGAACAGCTAGCAGGAGATATCGGGTTCTATAGACTTGGATGGCAACTGGTCTACCGCAGAAAGAAATGGCAATATAATGCGGAAAAAATCTGCCTCGTCAGTCCTGTATCGAAAGATACATGATCGCCTAAGCGTGTATCACGCATGACACATAATTGACTGACCTTTGGGTAAGGTATGAATCCTCTTCTTCTCCGTCCAGCTATGCGTAAATGTCAGGAGAGACCGATTGTCAAATGGTCTCTCGCAGAAAGAAATGGCAACCTACTGCAGGAAAAAAATCTGCCTCGTCAGTCATGTATTGTAAGATACATGATCGCTTACGTGTATCACGCATGGCACATAACTGTCTGATAACACGTACCGAAAGCTTCTTATATAGTTGCAATAATAACTCTAATATACGTTCAGAAATTGTCTTATACATCTCGTTACTGACGATGAAAAGTGGGTTGGATATAGTAATTATTGAAAAAGGCAGGATATTGAAAATGATAAACCATCACAACTGACCCGAAAATTAATCATCTTGGAAGGAAGTTATGTGTGCGTAGATGAATCGACGAGGTATTATTCACTTTTTGAAATTTTTTTTTTGAAACACTAAATGCACATTTCTGCGTCCAGCAGCTACAACATGTCGATAAATATTTGTTCGAAAAGCCGTCTACACTTGTCAATAGGAAGAAAATGATCGACGACAGCGCAAATCGACAGACGAAAAAAAATAAAACAAATCCATTTGATGGAACTCGGTCGATTTGTTCTACCCGACCCGACATATTCACCTAATCACCTGCACCAAACGATAATTACGTCTTTTGATCGCTGCAAAATGCTTTGATCAGGAAAACATTTTTTAATGATAGCCGTTTTCACATCAAAAACTACGGAATTTTACTTTAAAAATGCAGATATACACAGTGTTTATAGCAAACAATGAAAGGAAACTACAAGAATTACTTGAGAAGGAAAGCAAGAAGAAAGGATTAAATATTAATTACAAGAAGACAGAAAACATCCCTACATCAGTGGCGAAGGGCGGAGGCTTGGGAAACAAAGCATTCAGTTTATTATGCAGGCTAATCGCTAAGGGTGGGGGAGAGGGAAAAAGAGAACCTCACTCTCCGCTCCCAAAAAATAATTTGCCTCTTCACAACCACCTGTGAATGTGATGCGAACTAATTTTAAAGTGAGAAAATACACTACAACAAAGAAGGTCCGCTTCAGGCTTGATATCCTTTTCCAGTGATATCACTCCTCCATTATTAATAACCTGGCGACGATGATGACCGCTATTACGAGAGGAAAATAATAAAATCTAAAAATAATAGGTTATTAAAACTTATTTATTTTTTATTTTAAGCGTTTCACTCCAAGCAAGGCGGGAAGCCACTCGGACGCAAGGGGTTACAGAAGATTTGGAGCAAGATCAGATAGGAGTGATAGAGGAAACGGATGAAGAGAAGGATAGTGGATAGATCAAGGCAACTGGAGATGTCGATTGACATTACATTTGAATAGTTGGAGATTATAGCTCTCAGGGAAACTGGAATAGGGAAGGGAGTTCCACAGGCGAGAGGTGCGAGATATGAAGCTATTGGTGGAGAAGAGACGGCTATATTTAATAGTTTCGACAGTAAAAGGGTGAGAGCAGGATGCTAGCCTCGTAGGGCGCTTGAATTTATGAAGTCTGGGAACCAGCGAATGCAGCTCTTCGGAGCAATTACCATGAAAGTATTTGTAAAAAGGACAGAGAGAGGCGACGACGCGTCTGTGTGAGAGCGACTGTAGACGAGATGCCAGATCAGGGCCAATTATATTGCATATCCGTCTCTGGATCTTATCAAGAACCCTGAGACAAACAGAAGGGGCTCCAGACCATATATGGCCGCAATACTCCATGCAAGGGCGAATTGTTGATTTGTAGATCTGAAGAATTGATTCCGGTGAGAAAAATGTGTAAATCATTTCAGTCCTTCATTTCTTTTTTAGCAAATTCCTTGATCACTTTGTTTTAAAATGTGTCAGCACCATCCTCGACCTTTATTTTCTTCAAATGGTCTTTATTCATGGGAATGAAAAACAAATTCCAACAATCACTCTTCATTTTAGGAACACCTCATATAAATATTTACACACTTTAGTGGAGAAAATGATCTCTCACAGCAAGCAGATGTGGCAGGTATGGTCAGACTCAGAAGTAGACGTAGACATTTTTATTTTAATTATTTTTAAACGTTTAAAAAGTTTCGTATCGCTTGACGACAGGTGTCAGAAAATGGCGTTGATCGATGGCTGGAAAAGTGAAAATTCGTAATTTTGACGTAAACTAAATTAATATTGTTTTAATTTAAATTGTTTTACCGAAATGTTCTTTTAACATAAAGTTTAACCTTTCTTCTTTAAAAAGACACCAACATTAATACATGATATTTGAATTTAAATACTTTTAATTTAATTTTAAAATTAGGTATTGCAGGGAGTTTTTAAAAAGTCTTTAATGAAATAATATGCAATATTATTAAGAGATTTTTTACATAACTTTAAAAAAGATAATTTTCAGCATTTCAAATTAAACATTAAGGCACTGAAACGGATGAAAACTTATCTTTTGATAACAAAGGATAGACTAAGCCGGTTGCTCCATTTCACTCAGCGTGTGAACTGGTCAAAACTTCCTGGGCAATGATCACATGACTGAATCTGGGTCTTAAGAAGGGGTCAACAATACTCTCCATGAGTTACAAAAATTTTTAAAGTAAAAAAAGAACATTTGAGATGACACTGAATTCGTTAGACGTTCCCTCTATACTCTTCAGAACCGAAAGATACAAATCTGTCCGTCTAAATCTGTCCCTCTATAAGTCATTTGAATAGGCAAGTCTTTGATTTCAGTCGCACGCAATAAAAACATCATCTCTTCAGTAGAGAGTGTCTGCTGGCTTAACGCGGCTGGAAAGCAAGCAAAAGAATTTCTGCTTTTCGGTGGCTTTAATCTTTGTGACACACCGCTTTATTATTCTCTCTTTTTCATGCAACCGACTTGAATGGAACAATAAAAGAGGGAAGGCTAAAGCTACGCCCTTTTCTAACGCAAGCAAAAGAATGTCTGTTTTTCGTTGACTGTCTCTCTTTCACTCACTCATTATTATGTTCTACCTCTCACGCTCTCTACTAAAAAAGCTAGTAAATTAATTGCTTTTACCATGAGTCTTTTCTTTTAAAATAACAAGCATTTTCTCTACTTACACTCCCTAAATAATATTGCTTGCAACAATTATCTGAAGAAATGTTAAATACAAAAAAATATAACTACAAAGAGGACAGTGAAAATTATCGATAATTAAATTTATATTACACAAAATTATTGATCTTGGAAAATAAATCTAAGGCATACAGCGCATGCGTTTCAGACATGGATACTTCGTCCTTGCCTACACGCAAACAGGTACTAAAAAGTGTATTAACGGCGTAGGGGAAGTGCGACACTGAAATCCGATGGCGCACTGGGTTTAGAGAAATATGATCTCCAAGGACTAAAAAACTAGAAAATGTAGTTGCAAACAAAGAAAAGAGTTTTGAAATGTTACGTAATATCAGCCCTCATCTATGGCACTACCAGCTGGACAATCTCCTCACAGATGAAGAAGAAACTTGAAGCAACAGAAATATGCCTCTGTGGATGGGTGCTGAGAATATCATGGACCAAACATGTGATCAACGACGAAATTTTAGAGAAAATCGAAGAGACAGTTGAACTTTCAAAGGCATAGAATGATGAAAAGAGGGCTTGGAAAGTTTGATACTCAGAGGACAAGTTGAAACCAATATATAATCTACCTAGTGACCTTGAGTAAATGGAGAGATAAAAAAAGTGTATTAAAAGCTACAAAGGACAGGAAATTATGGAAAGCCATGATCACCAACGTCCTGTCAGGAAGCGGTACATAAAATGTGTCAAGAGTTAATTCCGAATAATGGTGAATATGTAACTGAAAAAATGTTTGTATTTTTTGAAGAATAAATTTGATAAACGAAAACGGAAATTATTTCTGAGTCAATTGAAAAGTTTAATTGCATCTGATCATCATTTCTTGGAAATTTTTATTTTTTATTTTTTTATAGAAAGGGGAGTAAATTAGCTGTAAAGTGAAGCTTTGATATAATGACAAACTCGATAATTATCAATGGTTTACAAAGCCATAAAAATATTTTTCTTTGTCGAAGACTTTCAAAGTGGAATTATGGCCCAGTTTGTTGCCTTCACTTTCAAACAGATGCTTTTGGAAAAGACGTATGAATATCTACTTGCTCTTCCAAGCTATGGGTTAAATAGTCAGGTAGACAGAGCACTCTAGCTTGGTTGGATGTTTTGGCGCGAGAAAATAAAAAAATAAATCTATAAATAGGCCAAACAATCCTTTTCTTCCCCCAAAAGTCTAACTTCATTTTATTTTTCGTTGAGAAAAGGACGTTGTCCGAAAAGTTCAATTAGGAACGTTTTTCTCGTGCTTCTATTTTGTCTAATGCTTTTTACAATTATCATTATTAGCATTATCATTATCATTATTATTATTATCATTATTATTATTATTATTATCATTATTATCATTATTATTATTATTATCCCTATTATTATCATTATTATCATCATTATTATTATTATCATTATTATCATCATTATTATTATTATCATTATTATTAATCATTTTATTATCATTATTATCATTATCATTATTATCATTATTATTATTAACATTATTATTATCATTATCATTATTTTCATTATTATCATTTTTATTATTAGTATTATCATTGTTATCATTATTATTATCCTTATCATCATTATTATTATTATTATTATTATTATTATTATGTCTTTTCAAATTTCTTTTATCGTTCTAAATTATTTTCTGTCTTCCATCAGCATGTCTGATGCTAACCTCGACGAAATTGACTCGTTGCCTACAGGGACTAACATTCTCGGCTGATATGAAGTGGAAAGATTATATTGAATCTATTGCTAGGTCAGTTATCAAGAAAGTTGGTTCACTGTGTCGTACGAGACATTTTTTCTCTTCAGAATCTATCTTACATATCTATAAGTCTACCATTCGTCCATGCTTAGAATATTACTGCCACAGATGGTCTGATGCTCCTGCTATATATTTAGAGATCCTTGATAATATCAAAAGAAGAATCAGCAATATTATTAGTCCTGACCTGGCATCTCGACTTCAGTCACTTTCTCACCGCTTTACATTGCCTCCCTGTGCCTTTTTTGAATAAATACTTCCCTGGCAACTGTTAGAATGTGTTCTTTGTTATGGTACCTGGCTTCTTTGAATTTATCGCAGTACTAGACTGGCAATAAATTCTCACCAATAAAGAATTTTTAATCTTCAAAAATTTAAACGTAAATTCAATCGATTTCTACAATCTTCCTTTTGTTTTTGTTCCTTAGTAAAATTTCTGTTTTCTAATTCTTCCACAACCAATAATTTCTTGTGTCCTAGTGGCTTTATTTCCTTGCTTAGGGTGAAAGTGATTAATAAAATAAGTTATGCAACAAACAATAAAATACAAATATTTGTTTAGACCTACGTTGTCTGTTGTTAACTGGAGCAAAGGATAGCTTTTTTTAAAAAATTTAACACACCCTAAATTAAAGCGCTCTCTATTAATCCTCTGAGACCCCCTTTTAAGTTTGCCATGAGTATAGATGATCCTAACCTTCAGGTGAGTGACCCGTTGCGCTTTCTCGGACTAACGTTCTCGGCTGACAAGTGGAAAGACTATATTGAATTCATTGATATGTCAGTTATCAAGAAAAATCAGCAATATTATTGGTCATGATCTGGCATCACATCTTCAGTCACTTTCCCACTGCCGTAAAATTGTTTCTCTGTGCTCTTTCTATAAAGACTTTCAGGATAATTATCTGGATGAGCTCTTCGATATGGCACCTAGAGTTTATGAATTTAAGCGCAGTACTAGATTGGCATCTAGGTCTCATCAATTCCAAGCTGAAATGGCTAGATGCAACCGTAAGTTCTATGCTAGTAGTTCTTTTTCTAGTGCTTATCACATGTGGAACTCTCTTTCGACACCATGCATTCCAGTTAATATCAAAAACTTATATATATATATATATATATATATATATATATATATATATATATACTAGCAGTAGAGCCCGGCGTTGCCCGGGGATGTAACAGTAAGAGATAGATCAAGTATCCACCATCATAAAGACTGAAAAATAAAATTGACAAAGATTATTGTTTAAAGGTTGACGGACACGCATGTCTTAATTAGTTTTTTTTTTTTTACGAATTGGTCAAACCCAAACTCAAACAAAAAACATTGTTTTCAATCGTTATGAATCTACCAATTGAACAGAATTTAATTATAAACAATTGTCTTGTAAATGGAATTTTTAAAGCATTCTGAATGTAAAAATAAAGAAAAAAGTGTGCAAGACAATAAGAAACACTACCTGCCAAAAAAAAGTGAAGTTTTGTTGAAATCGGTTGAAAAATGTAGGAAATCCGATCCCATATATAAACGAACACACACACACACACACACACACACACACACAAACCTGATTTTAAGTATAACTCGATATGAGTTGTCCCTCTTTCATTCTCGCGATGCCTCTTAATCGTGTTTTCAAATTGATTTCGGGCAAAAACAATTGTGTTTTTCCAATTTTGGGCGCTGTCAGAACCACCGTAAGGTAATTTTACGTAGTCCTGTGAAGTTTTGTTGAAATCGGTTGAAAAATGTAGGAAATCCGATCCAATATATAAACGAACACACACACACACACACACACGCACACAACCTGGGTTTTATAATAAGAATGATATATATATATATATATATATATATATATATATATATATATATAAGTAATTCATCAAGTCTAAAAGAAACGTAGACAGAATGCAGAAAGCACTGAGCAGCCGTTTCGTCCTATATTTGGAACTCATCAGCAGTGCGCATCTACTACCGAGAATTGAAACCCGGACAGTTACATTGACAGGAGGCAAACGTCAAATGTTCCAATGCGTCTCGGTGACGAAAAGGTGATGAATTAGACTCAATATAGCGCCGCTCTTCACAAATTTCGTAGTGTAGCTCCTCTGAGTTTCCCTTACCCATAGGACTGTGCCCCCCACGAGACACGACTATTATCCCAGAAACGGCCGTCCAGTGCTTTCTGGAATCTGTTGAGCTTTCTTCTAGACTCGATGAATTACTTAATTATAATTATCTCAAATCCTCCTAGTAATTTCCATCCCTTGTATATCATTGCTTGAACCGGCTTCTAATGCTAGAGATGGGGATAGTAGTCGCTATCTCGCTCGTGAGGGCACATTCCTATGGGTAAGAGAAGGTCGGATGAGTTCTACCACGGAATATGTGATCGAGCGGCACTATATCGAGTCTAATTCTCTACCACTTCGCCACTGAGGCCCGCTGGAACAGTTGGTATGGCGTTTACTTCCTGTCGTAAGTGTTCCGGTTTCAATTCTCATTAGTGAATGCGCAGTGCTGATGAGTCCCAAATATAGGACGAAACGGCCGTCCAGTGCTTTCTGCAATCTGTTGAGCTTTCTTCTAGACTCGATGAATTACTTACTTATAATTATCTCAAATCCTCCTAGTAATTTCCATCCCTTGTATATCATTGCTTGAACCGGCTTCTAATGCTATAGATGGGGATAGTAGTCGCTATCTCGCTCGTGAGGGCACATTCCTATGGGTAAGAGAAGGTCGGATGTGTTCAACCACGGAATATGTGATCGAGCGGCGCTATATCGAGTCTAATTCTCTACCACTTCGCCACTGAGGCCCGCTGGAACAGTTGGTATGGCGTTTACTTCCTGTCGTAAGTGTTCCGGTTTCAATTCTCGGTAGTGGATGCGCACTGCTGATGAGTCCCAAATATAGGACGAAACGGCCGTCCAGTGCTTTCTGCATTCTGTTGAGGTTTCTTCTAGACTCGATGAATTACTAAATTATAATTATCTCAAATCCTCCTAATTTCTATCACATATATGTTTATACATTCTTTTTATAGATACAAATATTTAAGTAAATGCTCTGTTTATAATAAACAGTATTAAACAACATTTACCGGTCTGAATATCCGAGAAATATAATATGTTTATTATAAACAGAGAATTTACTTAAATATTTTAGATATAAAAGAATGTATAAACATAAAAATGTCTTAAAATAATTGTCGGCCTTTGTCCATTTCATAATGTGTGGCGTCATTTGTTTACATTTGGATACGCTGTGAGCAGATATGAATGTACGTGAGAGAATCATGGAAGATTGTAGTTTAAAGACAGTAAAATCGACCTTGCTAACCGAACGCGCCTCTGTGGCTCAATCGGTTAAGGCACATCAGGCTATATGACGGTTCCATGTAAGATACAGGTTTGATTCATGCCGAAGGACGAATATTTTCTATGAAAATTTCTCGGACATTCAGGCTGGTAAATGTTTAATACTGTTTATTATAAACAGAGCATTTACTTAAATATTTGTAACTATAAAAAGAATATATACACATAAAATCTCTTAAAAATAATTTTCGGACTTTGTCCATTTCATAATATATATATATATATATTGTTGAAAAATATCTATATTTACTAGGGGAGAGCGTTCAATAACGGAAATAGAGCGTTTATAAATCTCTCTCTCTCTCTCTCTCTCTCTATATATATATATATATATATATATATATATATATATGCGTCTGCACATTTCAATTTAACCTTTGAAAATTACAGAAATGGGGGACCGATAAAATTACTCCAAATAAATATTCTTGACACACCATGGAGACACACATGCACATACACACACACGCAGGCACACACACACACACACACACACACACACACATATATATATAAATTGTTGAAAAATGTCTTTACTAAGGGAGAGCGTTCAGTAACGGAGATAGAGCGTTTATAAATCTCTCTCTCTCTCTATCTATCTATCTATCTATCTATATATATATAGGAGAAACCTCACGGAATATAAATAAAATATTATATGAACACAAAAGGGACATTCGACAAAATAATACGTCAAATGCGTTGGATGCCGACTCTAACGAGACTAGCCACAATTTTGACATAGGAAATGATACATCCAGAGAGTGGCTTAATTCACATCCAGAGAGTGGCTTAATCACAAGTAAATTTGCGACCTGGCTTTGATAACATTTCACCATTCCTGACAGATCTTCTAATATCACAGTGTGGAAGACCTACTTACAAAAGTGATGGAAAGTCAAATAAAGAGACTCTAAATGAATTCTGCGACATAAAAAAAAACATTATAAAATTCCCAGCACCCCTCTCTCGAGCGCATGTGAAGCCGTACGAACAAAGCAAAATTTCGTCCGATGAAGTCCTGAAGAACAAAACGCGTCACAAGTAAACTTTTTTCCACTTTGTCATACAATTTCCCCAATACTGTTCTTAATATATACAATTATATACTGTAATCCAATATATATATATATATATATATATATATATATATATATATATATATATATATATATATGGTTTTAGTGTTTCTTTGTGATATACTTAGAATGTCGCGCTGGACCGTAAATGGTGATATAAAAAAAAAGAAGCAAAAGAAAGACAAATCTCTACTTAGAACGAGACTCCACAATTAGGGCCTTTATTCTCGTGTTTACCGACAGCATGATGAATTTTTCAGCGACGACGTCTTCTCTTCTCTGAAAACACGGTTAGTTCAATATATGTCGGCCATTTTATATGTACAAACTCAAGGACACTCAAGATGCATTGTCTACAGTTAAGTCCGTAGATAAGCTGGATGAGAACATCCCACACACAAACACTCACCCCACACATACGCACACACACACACACACATTAATTTCATATTCATATTCTATTAGTACCAGCACTCAGTGTTCAATATTATATACATGTTATTCGAAAATTATAGTTATTATGTCTTATCAAGTGATGATGTTGAATGTCTATATTTGCTCTACTCTGTATTGAGCATTCTTTTAAGAATAGTATTTTTGGTTATTGGAATTTATTCCGTATACATCAAACATATAGCTGGTTATATATATATATATATATATATATATATATATATATATATATATATATATATAGGTATTATTTTTTTTTTTTACTTTTTACAAAACACTGCTCAATGAAAATCTACAGAGCATAAATATTATAAATTTACTAATTTAAAAATATGGTTCCATCGCTACAGAACAATTGCCATGTTTCAAAAACAGGATCTAAAAAACTTCAAATTCAATTATAGAATTAAATTACAGTCCCTAAACCTGTTTCATTTTCAGGCGAATTTTGAAATAAACTATTTTGAAATTTACGGAGTTTTACAAGCAAATGCATTCATAATATAAATTTCTAAAGTTGAGGTCAGGAGATTGGGGCGCCCATGTCATAACACTCACCTGCTTCTCATCAAACTATTCCTTCATCAATTTTGATTTGTGACAAGGAGCATTATCCTGCATGAAAATGAGCTTGGTAGGGTCGATTTGCACCCTTTCAGCAGAAGGGAGCAGACAGAACTGTAAAATTCTCTTGTACTGCTCGCTCCTTAGGGTCTTTTCAATAGGTTTTAAGAAACCAGTTCCATGTAAAGAAAAGCATCCCCAGAACATTATACTGAACATTATGCTTGACAGTACTTACTGCTAAATTCAAAGAGCTTTCAAAGCTTCTTCTTCGGATTTTAGATCGCTTATCCTTTTGAATTTAGCTCAACTTTCGTTTCATCGGAGAAGAGAACATTTAGTAAAAAAAATCAGGTGAGTCACTTTTATCGAACAGCACTGTATATTACGCGATGCTTTCCTCTGTCTCTTTCCCTACATCTGTGCTGGCCAGGTTTTTCTTTTTCATGGTAATTACTCTGATGAACGTTTTTCATTCTATCTATACTTTGCTAGTTTAGGCGCAATACAAGATTGGTGGTAAGGTCTCGTCATTTTACAGTGTGAATGGCGAGATACAACCGTAAGTTCTATGCTAACACTTTCTTCTGTCGCACTTCTCACTCGTGGAACTGTCTTCCAGGTTCTTGTTTTCCAGCTACCGTTATAAATTTAAATGCAATGACAACTGTTATCTTCTGTCTTCTTGATTCCTGTTCTTTTATTGTTCTCTCTACTTAATGTTTGTCCTTTCCTTGTATTCTTTCAAGCCCAGGAACACACTACGTCTTCCTGGCCTTCCTTGGGGATGAAATGTTTTAAAAAACTCGTTTGACTGAATATTTACTACATAAATACGCCATACTCACAACCATCCAAACAGGTTACATTCAACCGACAAGGACTATCTCTTGAAACCGTTTTTTTTTCTCTTTCTGAATAAGCTATTGTGTATTGGGATCGAAATCGTATATAAACTAAAAACTGTGTGTGACAAGTTAAATGCCATTGGATACAACCTGGTATTTTATAGATAGTTGAAGGTTTAAAATAGTTTACGGTAACGGTTAAGGTGAGCAAGACCGTGGCAAACAATGTCTTTTTATACCAATATTAGATATTTCATGCCCACTTCAAGAAATCGTCTCCTGTGTTGAATGATATTTTATTTCATATGGTTTCTATTATTTTGCATAATCACATCTATCTATCTAGCTCGCTAGCTCGCTAGCTAACACAAACTCTTCATTTTCTTTCTTTCTTTCTTTCTTTCTTTCTTTCTTTCTTTCTTTCTTTCTTTCTCAATCTCTTCATTATCTATATATCTACCTATCTATAACAATTTCTTCATTTTATATCTATCTCAATCTCTTCATTATCTATCTATCTATCTATCTATATATCTATCTATCTATCTATAACAATTTCTTCATTTTTTTATCTATCTATCTATCTATCTATCTATCTATCTATCTATCTATCTATCTAATCCTGTTCATTATCTATCTATCTATCTATCTATCTATCTATCTATCTATCTATCTATCTATAACAATTTCTTCATTTTCTATCTATATATCTATCTCTAACCATTTCTTCATTTTCTATCTATCTATCTATCTATCTATCTATCTATCTATCTATCTGTCTCTAACCATTTCTTCATTTTCTATCTATCTATCTATCTATCTATCTATCTATCTATCTATCTATCTCATTCTTGGTGCGTTTTTCACCGTTTTACACGTAAATATATTTACTTACAATAGCAAACTTACCATCGATTAATCCTTACAAAGAAAAAAACTACATATATTTCGCCTTTTGAGGTGGCAACATCTTTTTAATTGAAAAAAAAGACTGTTAACACATTTGTATGCCATTTTTATTCTATGCAGTCACCATGCGGAATACGCATGCGCTGTTGTTTCGATGAACTGATTCAATGTTGCATTTTTTTATTCCTTTCGGCGCCTGCCGAGATGACTTCAAATGGCATTTGGATCAAGTCATGAATCCAACTTTTCTTCTCTTGTGGCACAGGGAGAGGGCAGGGTCTTTTGTTGTTTAACAATAAGTTTATATTTAGATATGATTTGAGATATACGTTTAATCTTTCTCTTATTTTTCTTTGACTCGCATTCTCTCTCCAAAACTCAATCGGGTGATTCCTGTAATTTTATCGCAGGCCTCTCTATCAGTCTATCGGTCTTAGTGTTTCTTTTCGCAACTAATTTTTCCCAGATGTCTCTCATCTGTTTCTCTCTACTGCGTGCGATGGATAAATTGTCGTCAAAATTACATAAAAATGAAAATAACACTAAAATCTCATTTTGGTTTAAGCCAATGGAGATTTTATTGAATAAATGTCGTATTATATTTATGTCGATATATTTACCAAAATTACACAAACATATCTTGAAATACGACATTTATTCAATAAAATCTCCATTGGCTTAAACCATGGCCTACGGGCGACTTCGGAATCTCCTGCAAAGCTTTTAATATGCTCTCTGTTTATACGTTATTTTTAGTTTTATATTAAATAATTGTCGGTCTTAATCAATTTCATAATATGTTGTCATTGTTTACGTTAAGATACGTTTCGTAAGCTGAAATGATCGATCGACAAAAATCTTCGAATGTGTGTGTTTATAAACAGTAATTCGGACTTTGCTAACCAGACGCTTCTACGTGGCTGAATGGTTAACAACACGTCAGATAAAGTGGCGGTTCCCATTGGGGTTGCAGGTTCGGAGAGCGCATATTTCTATATATATATATATATATATATATATATATATATATATATATATATATATATATAAACACAAGCGAACAGGGTGCGATGGATAAATTGTCGTGAAAATTACGTAAAAAATGAAAATAACACTAAAATTAAAATTGGCTTTAACCATGGCCTTAAGATGATTTTAGAATCTCCTGTAACTCTTCTGAATGGTCTCCTTGTTTAAGTTGATGAATGTTGCTATAATCTTTGCCTTCAGTTTATCTTTGGTGTTACAACGAGGTTTGTTGGTCTCTTGCTCAACCGCATTCCACACTTAATAATCAAGAGGAGTTGCAGTCTAGGGAGTTAGGTGGCCAGATGTACGGGGCTGATGTGGTCACTAGAAACTCTAGTGTTATCAGCTGTTTTTATGGTTTCTTAGCCCTATTCGAACTGAATTGCTGCAGTTCAAAAGATCCAATGGAAGACCTATCAAATATATGACGAGAAGATTTGTCACATTTTTCTTCACTAGGCGTGTACATGAGTGTAGCATAAATAACATTTTACTTAGACTATTGGCTAGTAATGTATAAGATTATTTATGTATAATCCAACAACCGGCTCACTAAGCTTTTATAATTTTAAGAATCAGTTCACACAAACAGCAGGATGGCACCACTGTATATAAGTGTATATATAAGATAGTATTATTAATGTCTCAGTTTGATATTAGAATTTGAATTAAAAGTTCCTTGAATTTTCAATTTATTTATGAGACTGGGATTTTGTCCACTTTTGGGATAAGAAGCTAGGATTTTGTCTGCTTATCATCCGAAAGTACAAGATGCGATGGATAAATTGTTGTCTACATTATGCAAAAATGAAAATAACACTGACATCTCATTTTCACAGATATAGCTACCAAAATTACACAAAAATATCTTGAAATAGAAATAGAGTAAATTCATTCAATAAAATCGCCATTGGTTTCAATTGTAGTGGGTTGGTATTTGGTTTTTCGTCCGGTATCAGAAGATGGTAATGTTGTTGGACTACAATAAATAACACAAAAATTGGTTGGAAAATTAAAGGGCAGTTTTTTATTGACGCACGTGTGTGTAATAATTTTTCTTTTTTAAGCATTCAACCTCAAGCAAGGCGGGAAGCCACTAGCACGCAAAGGGTTTTAGAGTAGGAGCGATAACAAAGACGAGTGATAGAGGAAAGGATGAAGAGACGGTTAGGGGATAGATCAGGGCTTCTGGGCATCCGATGTTTTTCCAACCGAGTATTGCAAATAGTTTTATATATATTATAATAATAATAATAATAATAATAATAATAATAATAATAATGGACTCTCCCGTCGGTTTCGACGTATGAGGATCTGCCAGCTTATTTATTCACATTATGAAAGTTTATGCGATAATCTTAAGTGGCATTTAAGACCCGCTAGTGATTTAATATATATATATATATATATATATATATATATATATATATATATTAAACTATTAGTAATACTCGGTTGGAAAAACTTGTAAGTCTATCAAAACCAATTGGTACCTGAGGAAAAAATTTTGGAAAAAAAAAAGAACTAGAAACATCAGAGCAGGGCGAAATAAATCGCCCACTGCCTTCAGTAAAACGTAGAGTATATATATATATATATATATATATATATATATATATATATATATATATATATATATATATATATATGTGTGTGTGTGTGTGTGTGTGTGTGTTACTATATGACTAGATGTATGTGTATGTGGTCTTAAAATCTTATATCGTGAAACTTTTGTAATAGAAAAGTAATGTAACGATTTCTCATGGCATTAATAATTAACTCATTAAAATCTAAACAAAATTCGAGGACAAATCAAATGAAACATTATTTTTCCTTCGTGTTTCCATTCAACGTATCTTGGTTCTGTTCCGAATAAACGTCATTGTCTAAAACCTCCTTGAACCCGGGACATTTCTCAAATATTCAAAATGTTAGCTGTATCAAGAGGAAGAAAATCTTTTGCCTTCGAAGAAATCTAATCATTAAAGAATATATTTGTGTTCTCCGGACTTACTGCTTTATGAGGCGTACTTTAGATATTATGACCGCATCAAATTTGCTCATATATAAGTTATATATATATATATATATATATATATATAACTTATATAAACATATGTTATGTATAGTTGGTAATTACTGAAGCTCCAAATCCAAAACTTATGAAAGGAATAATTTTGTTGTTTTTCATTACTCCGACAAAACAAATTAAATATCTATCTATCTGTCGATACACGTCCGATCACCGAAGTTAAGCAACGTCGATATTGGTCAGAAGTTAGATGGGTGACTGTTTGGGAATACTCGGCTCTATAAGCTTGGAGGTACAGGTGGCATCATGTAGAAGAGATGAATTTATGATATTCTCAAGGGTATTTGCACGTAATTTAATTTAAGGAACCCCATCTAGATCAGCTGCTAAGAAATTCGGTTCACTGTATCGGGCAAGACAATTTTACTTTCCGGAATCTATCTTGCATATCTATCAGTCAACCATTCGTTCATGCTTACAAAATTGCTGCCCTATATGGTCTGGTTCCCCTGCTGGAGTTCCTTGATAAGATCCAAAGAAGAATCAGCAATATTATTGGTCATGATCTGGTGGCTCGGCTTCGGTCATTTGTCGACCGTTGTAAGGTTGCCTCTCTGTGTCTTTTTTTATAAATATTTTCATGGGAATTGTTCGGATGAGCTCTTTGCTATGATGCAACCCATCCCGAAACTAGGCTAGGTTAGGTTTAATTTTGATAGTTTAGTTTCTCTCCCTATTTTTCTTTAAGTTTAATACCCCATCCCCTCCTTCGTTAGGTCGTGAATGATGTCAGTTCGCTGGTGGATGCGGGGCGCCTTTCGTTTCACGTCAGTGGTATTTTTCGTATTTGTTGTTGTGTCTGAATGAGTGCATGTCAGTGTGAGTGTTTGGGATGAATGAATGTTTTATACTATTATAGTCCCGCATTGATTTCGGCCATTGAAGCGATGTTTCTGCCACATTTAGTGATTGTGGGTTTTTTTTTATTATTAATCTTATTTTCTTTAGTTTCTTGTAAATTGTTTTTTGTATTCATATTGTAAATACTCATTGGGGTTAACTTTTAGAATTGTTGTTTTATTCCCCTCTCCCCCCACAGACAACAAATTGTAAATATGGGGACTAGTTAGTATTTTCATAGAGACAGTGAGGTATTATGGTGATTGTAGTAAGAAAGGTACGTACGAATGTGTTGTTTGTATGATTGGGTCAGTGTTTGTGGCTAGCAAAGTTATAGTTAAGACAGAAGAAGACCGTCCTTTCCACACTCCCCCCCCCTACGGCCTTGTGCCACATTTCTGTGTATTTAGCAGAATAAATATTGCTCTTTTCTATGCTACCTAAACTATATAAATTTAAGTGCAATACTAGACTGGCGATGAGATCTCATCAATTTACAGTTGAGCTGGCTAGATGTAACCATAATCTCTATGCTAACAAGTTTCCTTTCTCGCAATTCTATGTAATTTTGTTCATTACCTATCAATCTATACATCTGTCTAATATATTTTCTGTTCATACGTAATTTTTATACATACAACATATTTAAGTAATTTACTTCAATAAAGTATATCTATAAAAATAACTTATAAACAGAAAATATATTAAATAATTATCGGACTTAATTCATTTCATATTATATCTGTCTATCTTAGACTATTCTCTCTCTCTCTCTCTCTCTCTCTCATTCTATCTATCTATCTATCTATCTATCTATCTATCTATCAGGCTTTTTGCTTTTAAGAATCTATCTATCTATCTATCTATCTATCTATCAGGTTCTTTGCTTTTAAGAATCTATCTATCTATCAGCTTCTTTGCTTTTAAGAATCTCTCTCTCTCTCTCATTCTATCTATCTATCAGGCTCTTTGCTTTTAAGAATCTATCTATCTCTCATTCTAGCTATCTATCTATCTATCAGGATCTTTGCTTTTAAGAACCTATCTATCTATCTATCTATCTATCTATCTATCTATCTATCAATTAGACTCTTTGCTTTTAAGAATCTATCTATCTCTCTCTCTCTCATTCTATCTATCTATCTATCTATCTATCTATCTATCTATCTATTAGACTCTTTGCTTTTAAGAATCTCTCTCTCTCTCTCATTCTATCTATCTATCTATCTCTCATCCTATCTATCTATCTATCTATCTATCTATGAGACTCACAGCTAAAACCTGAAGCTTACTTGGTCTCTTATCGTCTCAGCCTTTGTTGTTTCATTTTCAGTGGTCCTGACCTGGCATCTCGGCTTCAGTCACTTTCCCACCGCCGTAAGTTTTCCTCTCTGTGCCTTTTCTATAAATACTTTTATCGCAATTGTTCGGGTGAGCTCTTCCCTATATGAATTTAAGCGCAGTACCAGACTGGCGCTGAGATCTCATCAACTTACAGTTGAGCTAGTTAGATATAGCCATAAATTGTATGCTAACAGTTTCTTTTCTCGCACTTCTTGCTTGTGGAACTCCCTTTTGACCCCATGCTTTCCAGCCAACTTTAATCTGCAAGAATTTAAACGCAATGTCAATCGCTATCTACTATCCTCCTGATTGCTCTTTTCTCTTTCTATTCATTACTAATGTTTCTGTTCCTAATCCCGCCACAACCTGTAATCCCTTCCGTGTTAGTGGCACTCATGCCTTGCTTGATGTGATACCGATTAAAAAACAAAATAATATTAAAACAATTGGAATTAGAACTCTGTTCTCCGATTCTCAGCCATTATCCATTGCACCACCCGCACATCCAAGCTTACAAAATCTGGTATTCCCAAACGGTTACAGACCAGGCTCGACGTTGCTTACCTTCGGTGATCGTACGGGGACTGGTGTCTCAATGTGAGGTGGCAGTAATCCCATATGATTTGATTATAATGGTGGAGACGCGTGCAGAACCAACCATTTATTTAAAGAACCGAATAAAGAGAGTTTATCCTGCTATTTATCCATAGCGGGGGATGAGAGATGGATCCATTCCTTTCCAAGAGGTATTTACACATAAGTGACTAGAATTTGAACACATCTATCTATCTATCTATCTATCTATCTATCTATCTATCTATCTATCTATCTACACATAGTAATCCCTTATCTATCTATCTATCTATCTATCTATCTATCTATCTATCTATCTATCTATCTATCTATCTATCTACACATAGTAATCCCTTATCTATCTATCTATCTATCTATCTATCTATCTATCTATCTATCTATCTACACATAGTAATCCCTTATCTATCTATCTATCTATCTATCTATCTATCTATCTATCTATCTATCTATCTATCTCAGTCTGTACATATCTATCTATTTAAGTGTTCAGTGCCTATCTATCTATCCTTGTCTTTTCACAGTCTGCCTATCTATCTAAACATGGGCACTGAGATCAACAGAGAGCAGCGATAGTCTGTTTGATGCTTGAACGCAATCATCAGGTCCTATATATATATATATATATATTTATATATATATATATATATATATATATATATATATATATATATATATATGATTAATACCGATATGTTAGATTCCGCACCCTGTCAGGAACTTCTTTCCGTTAATTTTTGTCTTACACGATGTCTTTATTTACAATCTCAATTTCTGTTTTGTTTTGTTTTTGTTTTGTACAATATATATATATGTTTGTGTGTGTGTGTGTGCGTTTCTGTCTGTCTGTCTGTGTACGTATGTGTGTTTATGTGTGTATGTTTATATGTGTGTTTATGTTTGTGTGTGTCCGCGTGTGTGGTAGCAGACATTTATACATACACAAACTGTTTCATAAGCTGTCATTATAGCTAGGAGAAAATCGTTGGACATCAGTTCACTGCCACACGTCATCAAAGTGGATGGTGGTCTGTAGACATTAAGTCCATTTAGAAATGTGCGGGAAAAAGCGGCGAATTAAGAGGTAAACAGAGGCTTCGAAAACGCTAGTGTTTCTTTTAATGGAGGGTGGCAAAATCTATTTGAGAATTAAGCGAAGTAACGAAAGAAACAATATGAAGGAATAAAGAAAAAGAAATTAAAAATAAAGAAAAGAAAATAGAGAAAAAAAAGGAATGGAAATAAATGAAGAAATAAAACAAATAAAATAAAAGAAAGGAATGAAAATAGAGACAAAGTAGGTCTTCTCTCATAGAGGCAACGTCTCAAGCCTCTCGCTGGTTTGCCGCCATTTCCATGGAAAGTGCTCAGACGAGCTTTATTCCTTAGTCCCACCAGTTCTAAAAGACAGAAATAAAGAATAAAGAAATAAGAGAAATGAATGAAAGAAGCAAAAATAAAAAAAAGAAAGTGACAAATAATGAATAAATAAATAAAGGAAATGAATGAAAAAGCGAAAAATATTAAAACGAATAAGAGAATTAATGAATAAATAAATAAAGGAAATAAATGAAAAGTGAAAAATGAAAAAGAAAGAGACAAATAAGGAATGAAGAAATTTAAGGAAATGGATGAAAAAAGTGAAAAATAAAAACGAGACAGAGAGAGACAAATAAAGAATAAAGAAATAAATGGAAAGAAAGAAAGAAGCGAAAAATACAAAATAGACAAATAATTATTAAATATCAAAAGAAAGCTATTGAATGAAATGAAAAATAAAGAGAAAGACAAAATAAATAAATAAAATAAAATAAATAAATAAAAGGAAAGAGAAGAGTGATTGAAAGAAAAATGAAAAAAATATAAATAAAATTCTCACAAAAGAAAAAATGAATACGCAATTAAAAGTAAAATGAATGAAATTGGGGTTTTGCAAGAAAGAAAGAAAAAATATTGAAAGACAAAAAATGAACAAGCAAAAAAAAAAGAAAGAAAGCATTGATAGGAAAGAAAGAAAAAAAGAAAGAAAGATAGCATTGACAGGAAATAAATAAAAAAAAATAAATAAAGAAAGAAAGAAAGAAAGAAAGAAAGAAAGAAAGAAAAAAAGCATTGAAAGGAAAGAAAGCATTAAAAAGAAAGAAAGAAAGAAAGAAAAAAGAAAGCATTGAAAGGAAAGAAAGAAAGAAAGAAAGCATTGAAAGGAAAGAAAGAAAGAAAGCATTGAAAGAAAGAAAGCATTGAAAGGAAAGAAAGAAAGAAAGAAGGAAAGAAAGAAAGAAAGCATTGAAAGGAAAGAAAGGATCGAAAGAAAAGAAAGAAAGAAAGGAAGAAAGAAAAAAAGAAGGCATTGAAAGGAAAGAAAGAAAGAAAGAAAGCATTGAAAGTAAAGAAAGAAAGAAAGAAAGCATTGAAAGAAAGAAAGAAAGAAAGAAAGAAAGAAAGAAAGAAAGAAAGCATTGAAAGGAAAGAAAGAAAGAAAGAAAGAAAGAAGGAAAGAAAGAAAGCATTGAAAGGAAAGAAAGAAAGCATTGAAAGGAAAGAAAGAAAGAAAGAAAGAAAGAAAGCATTGAAAGGAAAGAAAGAAAGAAAGAAAGCATTGAAAGGAAAGAAAGAAAGAAAGCATTGAAAGGAAATAAATGAATAAATAAATAAATAAAGAAAGAAAGAAAGAATTTTGGTAGTAAAAGAAAGAAACACTAAAATTAAAGAACGTCAGAATGATAGAGAAAATTAAATACGTAAATAAATAAAGGAAAAAGAAATGAAGGAAAGACACGCAAAATTAAGAAAGAAATAAGTTAAAACTAAAAAAAAAACAATGATGAAAGAATGAAATGAAAAAGAAAATGAAAAAATAAAGAGAAATAGAGAAACAAAATAAAAACAGGAAGAAAGATAAAAAAAAAAGAAAGAACGAACCGAGAAAGAAGTAAAAAATAATGAAGAATTAAAGAGAGAAAAAATTGAAATAAATAAAGAAATTAATAAAGAAAGAAAAAAAAACGTAAAAAGAAAGGATTAATTGAAAAAAGAAACTAAAAATAAGAAAGAAAGAATGAAAGAAAGGAAGACAGGTAAAAAGGAAATAAATAAATTAATTAATAAAGAAAGAAAGAAAAAACGTAAGAAAGAAAGGATAAACTGAAAAAAAAGCTAAAAGTAATAAAGAAAGAAAGAAAGAGAGTAAAAAGGAACTAAATAAATAAATTTATAATGAAAGAAAGAGAAAAAGAAAGAAAATAAAAAAATAAAGAAATTGGAAGAAAAAAACAGAGAAATTATAATGACAGAAAAACAATAATTAAATAAACAAAACGAGAAAATAATTAATAAAAAAGATCACGATCACCCATCTCGTGACCCATTAGGATCATATACTGCAGCTGTAGTAGAAGTGGTGTGTCTTGGGCTAGACTGACGGAACCGAACCCTCTCTAGGCCGGCTTGAATTCAGAGTTTTCCATCCACGATCCATGATATCGAACCCAGTCTGTCCTGCTAATTACCCCATACCTGTGGGCGGGGGAAGAAGAAAAAGCAGAAGTCATACCTTTCCCAGAGTAATTAGCACGTAAATGAATGTAATGAATCCCACTTTAATTCGAACACAGCTCTCGGATCACACAATATGAGACTCCTTAATAAAAAAATAAAAAAAAAACAAAAGAAAGAAAGAAAATAGTGATTAAAAGAGAGAAACACGTGAATTGGCTAAAGAAAGAAAGAGAGAAAGAACGAAAGAAAGAAAGTACGAAAGAAAAAAGAAAGAAAGAAAAAAGAAAGAAAGAATGAAAAAAACGAAAAAACGAAAGAAAGAAAGAAAGAATGAACGAAAGAAAGAAAGAAAAAACGAAAGAATGAACGAAAGAAAGAAAGAAAGAAAAAACCAAAGAAAGAAAGAAAGAAAAAAACGAAAGAAAGAAAAAAACGAATGAAAAAAAAACGAAAGAAAAACGAAAGGAAGAACGAAAGAAAGAAAAAAGAGAGAATAAACGAAAGAAAAGCAAAACAAAAGACAAACGAAAGAAAGAAAGAAAAAATGAAAGAAAGAAAGAAAAAAAACGAAAGAAAGAGACATGATTTGATTCAAGGAAAGAAAATAACGAAAACTTATTACACGATGATGAAAAATTCTGTCTTTAAAATATCTTATCAACGCGCTTAACGCTTTAATCTAGGATACAAGCTTTTAACTACTGCACTTTGCTTAGCTAAGCTTAACATTCCATGATCTTTTTTTAGTTAAACATCATGACATGCCAGTGACAAAACATTTTTCAGCTAGCCTGGTAGGAAGGTTGGAAGAAGCGGATCGCCATCAATATTCGTACAAAGAAACT